AAAGCTCTCGAGATGTGCTATAAGAATATGCAATGAAAAATGGGGTGTTCCATTTAAAAAAATTAATGTGACCTTGACCTGACCTTCGCTACGCAACCCAAGGTCAAACTGATGTGATCAGTAAATACATCTTTTTAAACGCCACAATTTTTGTCTGAAACATTTTTTTGTAAAACTTATATTTTTCCTGATATTCGGGCGTCCCGGTACTTTCCGAACACCCTGTATATATATAATTTTGTCTTAGAAAAAAAGATATATATATATGTATACATATATTGTTTTAATGACTATAATCAGTATGCTGAATTACGTCGTCTCTAAGTGTTAATGCTATTTTACGAAACTATAAATCTCGTATGAATTTACAGACGCGTTTTGAAAATACGTGTTTTTCAGCCGTGAGTACCGTTACGGTTTTGCAAGCCTTATTTTAAATGATCAAGAACAATCAAAAGCAAAGAGAGAGAAAGAGAGAGGAAGAGAAAGAGAGAGAGAAAGAGAGAGGCAGAAATATGTGTGATAATATACACGGCTCAAGTGACGTAACACTATAAAGCGTCTTTGGTCGCGTTAGAATTTGAAAGAGTACAATCTCTTCGGACATATCTAAGTTGGAAAAGTTTCGAGTCGCGGCATTTTCTCACACTTAGGATTATCGAAAAGCGATTCGTCTCGTTTTCATAGATAGGAGCTGGCTTATGGGAGGTCGAGAGACATCATCGAAAATGCGAAACTTTGATGTTTCCATGAGAAATTCTCCTCGACGGAAGTATACGAATTTGTTAAGCGCGTTATCAGCTTTCAGTTTTCGCGTTAAAGGATAGGGACACGCGTCACGTTTTCGTGAACTCTATTTTCCTTTAATAATATTAGACATATAATCTCGCCATGTACACGTAATCTGTTCTATAATATTATATTATACGACGTAAGACAAGTCACGGAAGCTCACGCTATGTGACGAAAGTGTGTCCTTATCTCGAGACGTTGCGTGCCACGATGGCGCATCGTGCGCGTTATTCCGAGCTTATTTTCTTCGTTCTGCTCTGAGAAATCGCGCGAGGCCTGACCTGTGCGAAATTCACTCCATTCTTCAGAATTAGAAAAAGTAGCAGGGTTCCGTTTACTCGCCAAAGAGTTCTAGAGATCTCTCCAAGGAGCAAACGGAAAATTTCTAACAAATTCCTTCAAATTTTGAGAAGGTGGGATCAATTTCACACAGGTGAAGGCATACCGCGCTTGTACATTGTTTTCTTTTATTTCTCCTCTTCCCTTGTATTTCATTGCTACGAGCGTGTAGTGTATAGCGTGTGCATCTCTCGCGTGGGATGCTGTTTAAATTATGATTATGCGGTTATGTTTTGTACCTTGACCAGGTTGCTCTTTTTTGTTGTCAACAAGTTTTGTTTCCAATCATGTGTTCTGTTTATTTATTACACCTTTCATCCACCCACCTTCCCTTCATGCGCGTTTTTAAGTCACCGTATATATCTTTATGGGAAATCGTCTACTCAAGATATCTTTTATCTTCTAGTACTATATTTCGGTCTCATATTACGTATTTCAAATTACAAATGCAATGCAATTAGTAAACATCAGATGTAATTTGAGATTATTTTCAGTGTAGCTTAATTTGTGTTGACGGTATTTCAGTTAGAAATTATTTCTCCCTTTTTTGCACGTTATTTTGAACGCAAAATTCAGATTAGAAGTAGCTGACAGGGGCTTACTCAACACGATCGTGTGAACTCGTTCTATCATGCCGTGAGAATTCTAAACGCCCTATTTACCTCGACTTATCCGTGGAAGCCGTCCAATTCTCTTGGGATTCGCATGAGCAGGTCTTTCCGAATCTGGCGCCTGACGCACCGCCCGAGGAGGAATTAACCGTACGGGAGAGCAGGTACTGGGGGATACTAAAGAGCGGCCACACGCGCTTCATGACCCCGCTGTGCGAACGGCGTGACGTTCTGACGGCGGCGGACTACCTGATCCTCTTCCAGAACCTGGACGAGCTTCTAAAGCTGTCCGAGGAAATCAGGGACGAGGGCGGCGGCATCGACAGCTATCTCTGCAGAGTTCCTAAAATCACAGCTGCCTACCGAAGATACCTCAGTGGCCTACAACGTGCCTGCTGCCTCTTGGTTGCTCTTAGACGGAACACGTCCTTCGCCAAGTTAGTCTGCGAGCCTGCTGTGCCGCACAAACGCCGCCCCGATCTCACCGGGGTGCTACTTCAACCCTTAGAGCACTACAGGTTGGCACGTTTACGCTAATTGACCGCGTTTTCTATCGAGAAGGAACTACCTAAGTCATTCCTTGATTGATCCTTTTCACGAGAGACGCGATATCAAATATGATAAAATTCGAACTAACTAATAATCGAAAAACTTATTTAAAAAATAATATGATTTCATAAAATTATTGTTTTTCTCTCTTGTTGTCGCCGTAATCGACAATTTTTCGATTATGTTGCAGCTTAAATTTGCAGATGGTGTTATCTTGATAATGACTTCTCGTTAGAGAAATAGCAAACTACTTTAAATCTCCATTCTTAAATTTTGTGAAGAGATATATAACTAAAGATAGAACCACTCGACTCTCTTTTGTAGAAATTTTCATTAATTCTTTAATAATAATAATGAGCAATTTCCTTAGAAACTTTATCGCGTTCAAAAACATTGAATTGCATTTCTTAAATCGTTTTCCACGACTTAAAACTATTATAAAAGCTAAATTAAATCAAGATATACCTTGGAAATCTAGAAATTAGCAGGAGTTTTTGTCGTAGTTAATCGAAGAGAAAGCAATCTCACACGGCACTCATAGCGAAAGCTATGAGAACTCGGAGAAGCGAAAGCCGTACCGTTTTCGTAGTAAATTCGTGTTTACAGAGAGATGACGAGATTGTTGGGTCAGGCGTCCCCACGAAGTTGCCAGCAAGCGAGGGACTTGGCCCATGGCTATAGAGAGGCTACGGCTAACGCGGGTGTCATGGAACCACCACGAGATACCGGAAGGCCACTGTTGAGCCTGCAAGAAGTGGAATCTCGACTGGTGTTCGCGAGATGCAAGCCGTTCACCTTAGCAATGCCGGGGAGACAATGGTGAGCGCCGTCAAAAGCAAACCATAGGAAAAAAGTCCAGTGGCCGGCATTCGTTACAGTGCTCACCAGTTTTCGACACCGTTGCTCGAACCTCATCAAATATCAAGATGTACGCAGATTAACTAATTATTTATTACTTTTTATTTACTATATTTATTTATTTGTTTTCTTTTATATCCCCATACACCTTAACATCCGACAACATCCGACGTAAGAGTGCCGACTACTGGACGTATTTTCCCCTACTTCTCATATATATATATATATATATATATATATATATATATATATATATAT